ACCCATGTTATTCTCTATTTATTTACAACCATAATTATTGCTTTTACTAGTACCTTTTTTTTCTATCAAGGGTATAATATGTTTGCTTCTAATTCATGTTGAATTTGAAGCTGGCCCTCTCATAAAAATAAATTTCCTGGCCATTATCTAGTAACAGTGATGCTTCACTGAGCTTAAGCCTGAATATTCTCTGCGTGCTCAATTCATTCTTCGAGTGAAGATGAATATCTAGATACTTTCTTCCTCATATGTCTGGAAAGAACTCAATATCTTATGTTAAATGTTCTTCTGAAACGGTTTGTGTGAATACTGGCAGTTTTAGTCCTTGGATCAGCCTACCCAAGGATCCATCTATGATCTATGTATATCCAAAGATAACGTGACTACTTGTTCTTATTTACAATTATTCTTCTGCGTTTATATCATTACTGCAGATTACCTATGGGATGGGAGAATAAGTAATTGGAGAATTATAAGACCAACAATGCTTTACGGATTAGAATGTTTGGCAATCACAAAAATGTATGTGCAAAAAATGATCGTAGCAAACAACAGAATGGTAAATGTTCCGGTATATACTACGATGTGATAAATAATAAGTGCATTCGCAGGAGGTTTAGAGGCTTCTCCTATTGAGGGTAAAATAAGAGAGAACCAAATTAGATAGCTTGGCTACCAAATTAGATAGTTTGGCAATGAAGAGGACTAAGACGTAAACTTAAATGAACTTGGTAAGAAGCAATGAAGAAGGATGTGGTAGTAGTGAACTTAAACGTAACGAAGGAGATGACCCTTAATAGAGCACAACGGAGGAAGAATATGATCTATGTATCCTTAAAATTTTGTGAAAGGGCTTTTTGGTTTTTATTGTTATTGTTTTTTATTGTTGTTGTTGTACTTATCTTGTTTGCAATTATTTGATTCATTAAACTGTCAGTCTACTGAGTAAATCTTCTTATGTCAAAGAATTCAAGTCGTTTTTTGCATCTGAGCAAGGTTTCTTCTAGCTCTAATTCCTTAATTTTCAGGGAAGGGATAAGGACTGTATACTGCTTTCATTTGTCAGATCTAGTGAGAACCCTGGGGCATATAATTCTTCCCTACTTGGAGACTGGCATAGGATTAATGTTTCTATCACACGTGCAAAGGTTATTTTTAATCATCTAATCTCATCTCTTATTGATCTGAAATGTTTGCTATTTGTGTCTCTTGCAATGTTCCTGCTTTCTGCACGCAACATCCTGTTTATAAGACATCTAGAATCTCGTAGGTTTTATGTTTTCTTGTCAATCAAGATGTTAGTGGAAGATACCTATCTACGTTCATCCTTAAGTTAAAGGGGTTTTGCATGTGCTTTTTGGTAACTCGTCTTGAAATCCTTAGTTTCAATATAGTACGCTTGTTGAAATGTATGAGGATCATCGTCATGAGAGCTGTATTTTGTGTTGCAGAAGAAGTTGATCATGGTTGGATCATGCAGAACACTTTCGAAAGTCCCATTGTTGAAGTTATTGATAGACAAGGTTGATGAGCAGGGAGGTCTATTTTGCATCTCCAACGAGGATGTTTGGCAAGTAGCAGAGCTCAAGAAATGCTCTCAAACTACTGCAAAATTATTAGCCTCGAGTTTCACCTGAGGAATTTTGTATCTTCATTTCTCCTTTCCACGTGGAAATGTAATTAACTTGCCGGTCTATTTTCCTAAAAATTACTGTGATTATTGTTGTAATTAGTGTATTCTATTCCTTCTATTCCATGTAACGTGCCATCCTTTTTTATAGATAAATAAGCAAGTGATTATAATATTAGCCAATATAAAGATGAAATTGGATTTTCCCCTTATGGTTTAATTGCGGAGAATTAAATATTTTTTTCAAAATTAAAACAACCTGAAATGTTTGTAATTCATTTAAATATAATTACTACAATATATCTGTGAATTAAATTTAATTTTTTTCAAGACATTTTGTTTTTCTAGTAAGTGAAAAATGTTTCTGATTTAGAAAGTTTATTATGTTTGTATCAAGAAAATGGGGATGGCATGTGCCTTTTGACATGAAAAGATTCGGCCAGGAGAACTTGGATGGAGCAAGGTGTGGGGGTGGTGTTGGTTCAGGAAACTGGAGGCCTTGACCCATCTTTCTCCCAATGGGTCTTTATAGGAAACTGAGGTGATGGCAAGATGCTATGTCTCGATCTTTAGACAGGCTTTCGCTGTTTCGACAGGTGCGGATGTTCTTGAGAATAATCGTGAGTCCTAATTTTAGACCTTCCTTTTGAATTAGTTCAAATGCTCGTGTACGGGTAGTGCAAATGATACACTGGGCTGATTTATTTAGGCGGTTATTCATTAATCATATTCACGGTGACGTTTGCTTTTTGAGAAAAAAAATTATTTTTAAACATACTTGATCTGAATTCCAGATCTTAATATAGTTAGAATTTTATTTAGAAATGTGGACGGTAGTAATCGAAGAAGTACTTGCAAAAGTAGAATCCTTTCCCCCGGCGAAGGTTTTTGGTCAACGAAAAATTTAATTCATTTCCCAATATGTGAAACATGAAGTACATCAAAACACCTTCTCTTTGGTGTTTACACTGTAAAACAATCACAACCTCTTAGGTGTTTCTTTTATATGTACAGGTAAGCTCGAATTGAAAATTTTGGTGTAAATTGCCAATTTAACAGCTCTAAAGACTATCTCTGGTTCTTTGAACTTTTGTTGAAAAATCCTCTGATTTCTTTAATTCTTGCCAAATAGCATACACTGCAGGCTGCAGCTGAGAGGGTCATTCTCTTCAATTTCCTTGTCCACCCCTAGCGAAGTACTCTAGAAAATTGTGGACTATGAACTTTTATGTAGTTTATACGGAATAGATGGTTCCCCGGAGTAAAAACTACTTGGGATGAAATAAGTTCATTGCGTCCCTTTCAAACCCTTGTACGTACGCAATTGCATATCAGTCCTCTGCACTTGAACATGCACATGTAGTGTAGATACGATACCAGACTACAGATTGTCCAGAATTTTGCGTTCATAAGTGACATCAGGAGATGGAAATGAGCAAAAAAAAAGAAAAAGTCTTCAGAGAGCACATGGAATTTGAATTAGGGAGGGAACATCATCGAGTGTTTTAAGAAACAAAACCACCTAACGTTAGTGTGATGGTAGCCTCGGTGGGGGTACGAAACGAAAGCAGGATTTGTCTTGATCCGGGTCGAAGCTTTTTTTATCTGTGTGTGTGTGGATGTGTTTGAGCGAGCCGTCGAATCGATCGATTGTTCAGCTGGGACAGAAATCTTGGACGATACTAAAATCATCTAACGTGTCCCTGTTTTCCTTCATAACTTTTGTTCCCAGGGAATATTATAGCACAATTTCAATGATACACTGTATCGCAGTACTACTGCTTTTGATTACTCGTTTCTAGAAGCACATCGCAAGCGGTCGACGACGCATCCGCACCTAGCAATAGAGCGCGGCCAAACGGGTTCTTATCCTTAGCAGCGCCGGTGATGAGCTCTGCCATAACGACGCATTAGTTGATGCTCATCCTGCGATACTACGGCCGTTATTTTTAATCCACGTGACTTTTTTTTTTCTTCCTTGCCTATTGAAATTTACTTTCAGAATATAGACGGTACTAAATAGTTTTCTGTCTTGATACCGAAGGACCACAAAAAAATTGTTCCCTAAAGTATCAGCTGCATGGCTTCATATGTGCATTTGTTGGCCAGTTAACTGGAATTTGAGCATATGAAATGCACGCGCTGTTGGCTACGGCTCGTAATTTCAGCCTTCGGCTGTCGGGGTTCCAACAGTCATCGCCCATTTGATCCTGTTGCATTATGCTTGAATCAGTTAAGTATATATAATTGGTTCCTGGTTTAAGTTCTTTCATGAGCACGTGGTTCAGAAAGACAAAAACTACACGAACGCTTAGAATGCTGGCCATAATTTGCTTGGCCCATGTCTTATGGAATTACGGAAGTACCAAACTTACGCCGTAATGTATGGAGGGATAAAATTGTCATTTTGCCTCCAACAGTTAGATTTGACAAGATATTCCCTTCAAATATTCTAACATGATTTATTTTGAAGGACCATTTTACAAGACTCTATATGGTTTTGACAGACTAATATGCAATTATTGAAGATTTAATTGACTAATATCTAGAAAACCCAATATTTTATAGCCAAAACTACCGTGAACGGTTAGAAGTGCATCAATACCTAGAACTATTGAAAGTTGTTAACAAACATTAAGGGCATGTTTGGCAACTTCAAAATAGAATTAGGCTAGCCAAGTTTTATCTTAACTAGACCAAATTAGTTGAACCATGTAAGGGTTGGTCCACGAATGAGTTAGTTCAGTAAATATATTTCGAACCAGAAAGAACTTGTTCGACTTAGGTCTAACTTCTGCCAAACTAAAAATAAGGTGTTGGACCAAGATTGTACCACCTAAAATTAATTTTGCGAAGTTGCCAAACACAGCGTAAATATCTGCATAGATGCACAAGTACAAAATTGTCAAAACCCCTCCAAAGTTCAAGGTAGCTTTGTGAAATTTATCCAAAGAGAAAACTGCATTCGTTGAGAAAAGTTTGCAAGTATCTCATAGGACGACAAGTCATGATGAACTGGCTCGGTACTATTTACAGCCATTATCGTCCACACGTTCAAGTTTGTTGCTGCGAAGTCAGGCCTTCTCTCTTATTATTACTTTCCCGGGAATCCATCACAAGCGGTGCATGACTCAGTGCAGTGCAGCCGACCCCCACAGACCTAACCTTTTCGACTTTCCCTCTGTCACATCTCCTTCATCATTATCTTCATCACAAATAACTTTTATTTATCATTAGCATGATTTCCCCCTTTTCAAATTTCTCTCCTCGTTTACCTTTTCTTCTCAATCATGAGCTAAAATAATTGTTTTATGAGACCCTTTAGATCATCATATTGGAGGTGCATCATGCATACATGAACAGACTTATATACAGATTTAGGATGTCTTTAGCAATCTATTTAGAGTGCGTTTGACAACCTATCAAAAAATGGAATAGGATCAGTATCTTGGCCTAGTTTTTTGCCAAACAAAAAATAGCTAAAATTGTGTCAGGTTCAGTCTTAGCTCAGTTTTAAAAATTTGCTAAACACACCCATTGTAAGTGGATTATTTCTTACATCTTTTTGTATAGCACATTTTGGAAATGGAAAATCGGAAACTAACTATTGCCCTTACTTGTTAATGCTCATTTGTTTATGATCATGTCTGGATTTCTCCATGGAATTCACACAAAACTACATAAATAGAATTTTTTTCCTGCTAATTTAATTGTAGAGAACAATAGTCTTTACGATTTCTTAAACTTTTGAGGAATTTTATCTGCTACATACAAAGTTGTTTGGAATCCAGTTATGCCAAGTAAAATTCAGTTCTTCACATGGTTGTTATCCATGAACAGACTTCACACCAAAGATAATCTTATAAGGAAAGATTGGCTTGGTGACTCTACATGCATTTTATGTGGTATACATCCTGAAACTAGTGATCTTTTATTCTTCTCATGCACTCTCACCAAATCAGTGTGGAAATATTTCAGTGACTATTATCTACCTTTCATGTGGCCAACATCACCATATGATCATATCATAGCTTTTGAATCTCTACATAAAACTAATGAGATTATATAGCGATCTGTTTTCTCTACAGTAGGCTGGTTCTTATGGACATCAAGAAATAAATATATTTTTTGATAAGACACCCTTCTCTACTACAGATATCATTAACTCAGCCATTTCTGGTTTGTGTGATTGGTCAGGTTCTGGCAGTGGGAATGCTGCTTTTAAGCTAGCAGAGGCTCTGGAAGATAAGCCTATTTCGAGGTGCAACAGTGTCTAATTAAGCTTTATCAGTTTGTTTCAGCTGTTGACTGTATAGAACATCTCTTTTGTAATATGATTGTTTGCTTCAATTAGTCTATAGAAAGTTTAATTTCTTTTTAATATATGTATGGCTGACTTTGGTTCTTTCTTATATCTATGTCAACGGTGAATGATGGCAAAGCCCTCTCTTCACCTTCATGGATGTTTGAAAGAAGAAAGTCATACATCCCTTGTGGAGAAATCAGGAAAAGAATCAGAAAAACCAGAAAAACTGGCATAAGTCGACTCATGCACTGTGCACGAGTCGACTTACGATCTGCAGCCGAATTGTGATTTTAGCCTCTGTCAAGTCGACTTAGCATGACTGTTAAGTCGACTTATGGCAAGTCGACTTAACAGTCTGTTAAGTCGACTTATGAAGTGTTCTCCAGTTGTTGATTTTCTCTCTGTCAAGTAGACTTGTGAGCTCTGTTAAGTCGACTTACGACGGGTTTTTTGCATACGCAGGTTTCCTATTTGCAGTCTGATTGGGGTTTTGTTTTGATATAAATAGGGAAACGATTTGTGAGGGTTTTTTATCAGAGATTGAGGAATCTTTTGAGCATTGTGAGAGGGAGATATTGTGAGCAAGGTGAGATCTTTGGTTGAGGGTTAGTTTGAGAGAATTTGTGTGATTGTAACCCTTTGTACTCTCCTTGATTTAGTGAAATCTCCCCATCCTCTCCCCGTGGACGTAGGCAAATTGCCGAACCACGTATATCTCTGTGTTTGGATTGATTTGGCTTTATTGGTTGGATTTGTGCAAGAGTTTGTCTTTCTTCTACTCGTGATCACAGGTTCGTTGTGAGTTCGTGCAAGGCTTCCGCAAAGGCGCGCGACAAGTGGTATCAGAGCTCAGATTCAGATCTAGGGTT